GGACAAGCTCCCCAGTCCAGCCCTCTCATTCTAGAGACTCTAGACTCTTTCTACAGATGTATTCACCCCAGACCTGACCGGAGCCCCCAGCCCAGCCCTCTGGCACTGCCCCCAACATACTCTGGGCACAAGGCAGGTCTTGTTGCTTGGTGCCCCAGAAACCTATGGACACTTCCCACAGAGTGGCCTTAGTGGCCTTGGAACCACAGATGGTCAGCACCATGGGAGCAGCAAAGCCACAGTCAAGAGTTGGAAGGGGTCCTTGTTGGCCCTTCCACAGGCTGCTCCCTGGAGGGCTGCAGTGTGGCTTCTCTACCTCCCTCTCCAGTGACTCTTGACCCCACCAGAGCAGCGTCCAGGTCCAGACACATCTGAGTCCCCTCATCTACAGGCGTGCCTGGGCAGTGGTGAGCTTCAGCCCACAGTCGTTCAGCCAGTGTGTTCACTGAACACAAATGAGGGCCATCTCCACAAATCCCAGACTGCTTGGCCCTCCTCCGGTCCCTATCACAATGAGAAACTTAAGAGGATTGTGGGGTCCCCTCAGCTGGTCCACACCACCACCCCAAAGCCCTCCACTATCACTCTCTAGTGATCAGGCATGTAGGCGTGAGGGCATGTGTGCCTGCTAAGTCTCTTTAATCATGTCTGACTCTTTGCTACCCTATGGGCTATAGCCCGCCAGACTCCTCTGTCCATGGGATTCTCCAGGCAAGAATACTGGAGTGGGTTGCCATGCCCTCCTCCAGGAGATTTTCCTGACCCAGAGATCAAATCCGCCTCTCTTTCTTCTCCAACACTGGCAGATGGTTTCTTTACCACTAGTGCCACCCGGCAGGTTGGGGGTGGGTGCAATAACTGAGATCACATTTCCTTCTGATGACTTTCATGGTCTTCACAACACAGCTCCACCCATCTTCCCATTATCATCTTTCATCATGTCTAGGCTTCTAGATGGGGCTGAGAAGGAATGGAGGGAACCAAAGAGGACCTCTCTTGTGTGTCTTCCATGGCCACAGGGTATTGATCTGCCCAATACACCCTGTCTGTCATGACATCTGACCCCCACCTCTCACCATCCATCCACCTGGTCCAGAGGCGGTCACATGGCCCAGGGCTGTGGGTCAGTCAGTCCTGTGACTATAGAGCACTTCATCACCTGGCCTGGGAGATTGCTTCATGAAAGAACATAGGAGATAAGTCTGGGTGATCGGAGTTCAGCCCATGCTTTTTTGCAGGGCCCTTAGGAAAGACTTGGGCCCTTTCTCCAGGATCCCACATACAGGGACAATGGGAGCATGAGGCCACCCCTGGACTCCTTGCAGCCATGAGAGTGCCGTTGTCAAGGGCCCTGGATGTTTGCAGTCTCTTCCACCCCTGAGCTTTCCCAATTATGGGCATGAAGATCAATCCCTTTCTTTTTTCTTTTCCTAAGTATGTTGAGCATTTTGTAGAATTTCTGTTACTTAAGCCTGAAAAAGTCATGACAGGTTCACCAGGACAACTTTCAATCTTCTTCACCCAATGTCTGTCTAAGTTTCCCCTTATGTGAAGACTGCAGGATCCCAAAAAACATCCCATGAGGTCATCCTAAAGACTGGGGCTAAGGGTCTCAGAATAGACAAGTAGAAGGTGCCAAGTAGGCACAAGCTTAGGCCCCAAACCACAGTGGGAGAGGAGCCAGCAGGTACCACTGAGTCGCCTGGGAGACTATGGGGCAAGGTCAGGGACTGTTCTCAATTCATGATGAATCTGTGGGTGACGCGGAGCTGCTGGTAGCTTTTGAGCAGAGCCGTGATATACCTTGTCCTCCAGGACACTCGGGCAGCAGCGACAAACTGGGGGCTGGGAGGAGGCCGTGACCACACAGGAGGTTCTCAGGGACCCGGATGGAGAGGAAGGGAGGGCTCAGGGAACATCAGGAGGGAACCCCTGGGGGCTTGGCATCTGTTCATTTTACCCCTTGAGGCATCATTTGTACCATCACGGCACGTGGGCAAGGAACAGAGGCAGATGGCGCTGGGGGAGCAGCAGCCAGGCGCTGGCAGGACAGAGGAGGATGAACAGGGACATCTGCTCAGAGCCATGCACGCAGAGCCCAGAGCCTAAAAGTGGGCCAGGCCCCCAGAGCCCTCCTGGACCAACCCCTCCTGACTCAGCTGGGGACCAGGGACAGGAAGAGAACTGCCCAAGGCTGCTTGGGGATCTCCGGCAGCACTGGGGGCCAGGTGTCCAAAGCCACAGCCCCACATCTGCCCAGTTCACTTGAGCCCCCACCTGTGAGGCTGCCTCATTTTTCCCTTGCTGGGAAATCACCCTGGGAGGTCACTTAGCAGGGAAGTGGGGCCTGCCGGGGAACATGTGTTAAACAGTAAAAAAAACCAGCAGTGAGGAGCAGCTCGTTGGCCATAAATCTCTCTAGAATTTTTAAAGGACCTAGGGAATATTGACATGAACTAAATCTAATAAAACATTCATTTAATTAAACTTTAAATGATCCAAATATTTGCTGTTTGGTTAATATTTGTGTAGCTGACAGGAGCAGAATTATGATGGTTTTGTCAGTATTCACGCATTCTAATTTTGCCTGAATCTTTCCCATGAAATCGCACATCTTCAGACATACAAATGCTTGGGGCATGCTCAGGAAAAATGTGGGAACCAGCCGTCCCAGTGGCGGATGGCAAGCCGCACAGGCTTCCCACTTGGGTTCGTTTGCTTGTTTATTTTCAGCCCTGTGCTACAGGCTCCTCCAGACATTTTTCTACAACTGTTTAAAATACAACTTTGTGTTTCCGAGTGTAGAGGAGAGCATACAGCCAGCTGTCCTCTGCCACCTCTGGTCCCCACTGCAAGGACCCCTGGTCACCCTGCCCGCAGGCACCCTCAGCAGGGATCAGCGCCACTGTGCTCCTGATCTAGGCACTCTCAGCCCAGCGGAGTCCAGAGTCCCATGATCCCTGACAGGTCGGCCTCCCAAGCCCCCACTGGCACAGTCAGGCTCAGGTCTGAGAGTCCGATGCCGTCCTCAAGTACAGAGGCGCAGGGCACACCATGGCCCAGCCATGAACCACTGGGCCCCTCCATACCACTCAGGATCAAGGGGTCTCTGGCCCCTTGAATGCAGACTCTGGCTCTCTGCCGCGTCCGTGTGGTCACTCTAGGTGGGGAGGGATACCAGCCGGGTGAGGGAGGGTTCAACCTCCTCTTTGAGCGTCCTTGGTTCCCTTCACCTGCATACTAGCAGGCAAGTTCTCTGCCCCTCCCGCTGTGTCCCTCCCTATTCCCCTGGGGACAAGGGGGCTTTCCATGCCCCTTCCCACTTCCATAGGGCCTTGAGGCTCATCCCAGGAGGGAGAACGGTCTCCTCTGTACTTGGGCACAGCGGGAGTTAAACAATATTAGTAAATCCTTCTCCCCGTCTCTGCCCCTCTGAGTCTCTGGAACCTGGGTCTTGCTACAGGGGGGTTAGTGCCTTCTCTGCCCTGAGCAATAAGCCTCATGACTCAGAGGTGGGAGGGCAGCAAGTTGAACATGATTTAAAAGGGAGCTTGAAATGCATCACTTTAGTGTTTATAAAGTATTATGCTGTTTGCATCTACATCAATCATCCGGTGCTTATCTTTTCCTCATGTGGCTCCTTCACCAGGAGTCCCATTTTTCCTGTGTGTGATTGTCCCCTCTCCACTGGCCTGTTGCCTTTTTTTCCTTCTGTATTTCTATTTCCTTCATTTTTCATTCAGCCATCCAACAAGCACTGATTAAGTACCTAGTGTATATCGTGTTCATCTCTGTGGGCCCAGGGCTGGGCCGTGAATGTTTATAGTTGGAGGAAGGGCTTTGCTGCCCAGGACTGGACTGGTCTCTACTGCACCAGCTCTCACTGTACCTGCTGTGATGGTTTTTGCTCCGCTTCTCCACCACCCCCTCCCCCCAACATACACATACTAGCAAGAGAGTCTGAGCCTAGGTGTGCCACCTGGTCGCAGCTCAAACGTGTCCCACTGAGTCACAGAGCTCGGGTCCCAACTCTGGGCCTTGCTCCACCCCGTCAGGGCCCCCCAGGTCCTAGCACCCTTTGCCGGCATCACAGAATCAACCCAGGCCCCCAGAGCCAGCCCGCCTCCCTCCGCCCACGCTGCCTCCCCAAGCTGCCCAAGAAGATATGAGGGAAGGGCAGTAGGGCGGCCATGCAGTCAGTGAAGCTAGCGACTCCCCACTCCGAACCTCATCCCATGTTGACATTTGAGTAGCCTGAGTTTGATTTTTTTCATTAACCCTGAGAATTCCAAAAGGTCTGTGATTCTGAAAGGGAGATAATTTAGACCCTCCCCATTTGCCTGACAAGTGATCAGTCTTAATGCCAGTTATCAAGTGTGAAGAAGCAAGGATTAGTCATTTGTGCAGCCCAAAGTACACTTCAAAAAATTAAAGGCTGCAGTGCACGGTCGCTGAACAGAAACCCAAATCCAAGTTCACAGGCTCCTTAGGCAGCAGCAAACCTTCAAAGGTCAGCTAGTTCTCTCCCCAGACTGCAGACAGCACAACCTTTAATTTGCCCCCAGGTGGGCAAGAAACCTGTCGGCCCAGCCAGCGGACCTTGACTGCACTTGGCAAGGCCCAGACTCCATGGGGCCTGGTGAGCACAGGGCGGGGCCGGCGCATCTGGCTCCCCAGTTTCAGCGGGGCAGCCCCATGGCCCCAGCAGCCCACCTCCCTGGCTCCACTCACAGATCCACAGCCCAGACACTTCCCCTGCACTGGTTGTGGTTCCTGACCTGATGTGACTCACAGAGCCCTTGGAGCTTTTGACATAAGTCATGGCCCCTCTCCCAGGAGTTGTGTCCATCTGTCTGTTTAGCCAGCCCACTGCAGATAATGCTCCTGATCCCTGAAGTTCCCCGGGCCCCTGACCTGCAGTAGATCCCCTTGTCCACATCCTTTCGAGTAGAGACCTCACCGCCCGGGCCTGCAGCTGACAGTGTCTCCTTTCCCTGCAGAGGTGGTGCAGCTCAGCCTCGCCCCTGAGGAGCAGGTCAGTGTGGCCACAGTGACTGTGGGACTCAGCACGGTGCTGACCTGCGCCATCCGTGGAGACCTGCGGCCACCCATCGTCTGGAGGCGCAACGGGCTGGCCCTGAACTTCCTGGATTTGGAAGACATCAATGTAAGTCACCAGGCTCTGTCTGAGCTCAGACCCACCCCCTGGGGAAGCCAGCTGTGTGAGATGCCTTGTGGGAGCTGCAGGGCCAGAGGGCTTTCTTTTCATATCCCCCGTTGGTGCCATCCAGCCTGCTATCTGGTGTCTGGAAGTATCAGCCCCACCTTGTGCAGAGATGGATGGACAGTGTCTGCAAACTTCCAGCCAGGCCCAGAATAAGGTGAATACGAGGGGGAGGCCTGGTGGGCAGGGCAGGAGGTTCCCAGGCAAGGGAGAGCATCTGGCTTGTGGGGGCAGATGCTCTCTCTCCTCCCAGGGAGTCTCTAGATCCTGAAGCTGGGAAGGACACAGACAGCTGGACACTGGGGAGAGGGCGCCCCCTGTGGAGGGCAGAGGTGGCCTCTGGGATGGTTGTCTGGAAGGCAGGGGCAGGGGGCGAGGTAAAAGAAAATGAGATCAGACCAGAGGGGCCTGCCCAGGGGTCTTGTTTGCTGGGCAAGGAGTATGGATGTGATGAGTTAAAAGGAAAAAAGAGAGTCCCTGTGTCCTCACAGCCCAACATGAGCAATGGGGGGCCTCCTGGGCTCTGAGGGCCCCAGGCATTCTGCACTCGGGTCCCAGCATCACCCCACTCTGCCTCTATGACTGGACAGTTTCTTAAATGGATCCTCAGTGAATTAATCTATTGGAAAAGCAATGTTAGTGGTGCCTCCCTTCTATGGGTCTTGAGGAATAAAAGGATGGAAGAATATGCACTGGCCCTGGTTTGGCACAGGTGCGGGCATGGTGGTTTCCCAGGAGTTCATGGTGAGAAGAGGGAGTAATGTCACCCACGCAGGGAGCTGCCAGGATGGCCAACAGGTCTTGAGCCACAGTGACAGGAATTCAAGTTTCAGGCAGGAGACAAGCAGCCCTAGTCTCCTTGGCTCAGGACAGGCCAACCCAGAATGGGCCACTTGGCCCCAAGAAGGAAGACCTGTGGAGTCAGTGGCCAGTTCACGCTAGCGGCTGTAAGGTGGGGGTCAAGGTGCTGTGGCAGAAGGAGCTGGCCTGGGCTGTTTGACCCCATGAGTTGAACTAGCACAAAGGGCCAGGGTGCACCCCGAAAAGAGACCAATTGGGGCTGCTTGGATGGAGCACCACTCCAGCCATCAGCCCTGCCCCACACTGGAGTGACCCATCACATCAGATAGTGAGCTCCCCATCCCTAGAGGCATACACGTGCCCTTCCCTCACCTTTATCACACCAGGCAAGATGGTTTCCTTGCAGTTTCCCCTCTGTAGTGAGCACGGACAGTATCCACCCACCTCTGAATGTCAGTGCCAGCACAAGCCTGACTGCTTACTGGTCAGGTGCTCAGTGGGCAGAGTTCTTCCTCTGAGCCTAAGATGCCCAGGGCTTGTCTGAGATCTTAGCAAGGGAAGGCAGTGTCCTGCTTGTAAAGACTAGGGTGTGTATGTATGTGTGCATGTGCATGTCATGTGTGTTGCTGGGGTGCACGTTTGTGCGTGCGAACCTCTCAAGGTGGGTTGTCAGCTTTTAACCACGATTGGCCAGTGGTGATTAATTCAGAACTCGGTCAGGCCCGCCTGTGTCTGAACGTCCGTGTGCATTGCTCGATGCTCTATTTAAAGACATTAGAAATAAAGGCAGAGGCAGAGCTCCTTTTAATGCACTTGCCATCAGTTAATTAAATTACTTTGAGTGTCTTTCCCCTCCCTCGAACATGCCTCCAGCACCAACTCAATTGCATTTCTACTTTTCACAGAGAGGTTAGCAATTTGGGTAATTGTGGTGCAACTGGAGATTAATGGCCTCTCGTTACCTCCCAAGAAACACTCGCTCCTCTGGGCAAGTGAGCAGCCCACGAGCAAGCAGGGCCCCGTGGTTCTGAGAAGCCCCCAAGTGAGGGCGCAGGGCAGTGCTAGCCCCACAGGGGTCCTGGCCTGATACATGTAAACACACACACAGACACATATACAAACACACACATGTACACCTGCCTTCAAGAGAGGAGAGAGACAGCACAGCCTTACTCATGAAGGGCACAGGCTCCAGGGTCAAAGGGACCTGGGTTTAGGTCTCAGCTCTACCACTTACCGGCTTAGCAACCTTGGAAATGGCATTTGACTTCTCTAAGCCTCAGTTTCCTCTTCTGTGGAAAGGGGATAAATAGTAGATCCTGCCTCACAGGGCAGTAATGAGGATGAAAAGACACATGAGTTCTTTCTTAGTACATGATGTCCATGCTATTATGCTCTTATTTTCATTATTTCTATTATCACTACTTCTCCCACCAGATAGCACTCTCAAGCCCTTGCAGCCTGAGTCCCCACCCAGCAGTCAGCACAGTCTGGTGAGGCCCCCGTCAGGCAGATGTGACTCTGGGGTGGTCCCTGCTGCCTGTCGTCACCTTGATTCAGGTCAGCCTTGATTCATCCAGGGGCAGACACTGACCAGCACTTCCAGTGGGTCCAGGGCCGCCCTGGGTGAGCCGTGCACCTGCTCTGAGCCTGCAGAGATGCTCTGGGGCAGTGGAGATGAGGTGGTCCTCCTTGAGAGGGCATTTTCAGGCTGAGCTTGTTGGTGGGGGGCACCCCACCCAGTGACTGGCACACCGCAGGGGTTCATTAAGCACAGCCCTTCTCTGGACGGTGAGGGGGAGTAGCCGTAGGAGGAAATTAAGCTGGATCAGGGCAGGGCTGGGTCATCAGGATACACAGCGCATTCCTGAAACAAGACGGGTCAGGGGAGAATAGTCCAGGTGGCTACCCTGGTAGAGCAAAGATCACGGATCGGTGGGTTCGTACAGCCCCCCAGCCTGTGGCATCTCAGCGCCTACCCCCTCCTGCCGTAGTCAGAGATGAAACACAACATGATCACAGGCCTTGTAATGAGCGACTGGCTCTGAAACGTTGCAATGACAGGGAAAGCTGATCAGCTTACAAAACCCAAGGCGGGGAGATTAGAGAGCGCATAGAGGTGTGGGCCTCCTTTCTTTGTCATTTGTATGAGACATCTTGATTGGCAACAAAATATTAATCACTTTTTCACTACTCTCTTAATGAGAAGCTTTCATGGGCAACAAAATATTAATTTGTCTTGTCTTATCTGTTAAGAATTCCGTTAATGAATTCGGTCACAGAGCTATTACAGAATGCCATGCTAATGACACATGTAATTAAACTTTTCTGACTTGCCAACATCAAGGAGGCCCCAAGCATCAGAATAATATTTGCTCAGAAAGTAAATGTACCCATTTAGCCCGGAGCCGCGCAAGGAGGAGCCCCTCAGATTCCCCAGTGAGCGGTGTCGCTGTCACGAGCAGTCAGGAGTCGCCAGTGCGTACACGTTGTCCAGACAGCACACGGGAGGAGCCCTCCTCTGGATTCACTTACTGAGCGACAAGCCCAGCGCCAGAGCATAGAGCAAAGACACTCTGCCTGGCTTCGAGGGGGCATCGCAGCACAGTGTAGCCAGTCCTAGGGACCTGGTGTTCCCCCTCAAGGATGCCTGAGCCCTCCCCCCAGCAAGACACCTCAATCTCACTGCAGCCCGGACCATGAGGGGCCCTGACTCAGCTGTACCTGGAAAAACAAACCCCCCGAGCAGAGGGCAGCACTGGGTACCAAGAGGGCAAAGACCCCCCAGACAGGTGCCCCCCAGCTGGGGTGGGAATTCTGCCCCGCTCCCGGCAGTGGGTCTCTGGATTATGATACCTCCTCCTGTTTGCATGATGGTTTCTACTTGTGCACAATCTCTGGAGCTCACAAAGGGCTGCTTGTAATTTGTTTATGTCCCAGCCAACTGCTGGGATCTCTACAGGAGCAGCTGTGGGTCTGGCAGCTTCAGACCTGGCCCTGTGCCCACTGCCTCAACCCTCAAGGACCCAGGGCCATGGCTCCAGCTCAGAAGATGCCCTGGTCTCGGGCCAGGCTGCTGGCTGGGAGGGCACCTACGCTGGTGTGCCAGGTTGACCCTGCACCTCCCAGCACCCCCACCCCCGCCCGTGGACCTGTGGTCAGCCTGCCCGGCCTCTGGCCTGCTCTGCTCAGACAGCACAGGGTCACATGGGAGAAGGGTACCCCATCATCCCAGGGGGCCACAACCAGAGCCTGTGGGGGGAGCTTATGCTAGGGAAGGACTCTGCCTTAGGAGGCAGTGAGATGCCCTCACCACAGGTACCGAAGCAGGAAGGGGACCAACCGGGTCCCCTTTGAGGGCTCTCTGGGCCCTGGGGTCATGCAGCGCTGTGATAAGGAAATCACGTGGGAGACAGGGCCCCAGGGGATGTGAGTCCTGCACAGGAGCCAGGAAGCTCCCCTTTTCACCCAGACAGCAGAGCCTCCATCTTCCCAGGCTTCAGTCCAGGGTGGGGCCCATCTCAGCAGCAGATCCATACACTCCTCACCTAGCCGGGCCTACACACTGGGTGTTCTTGGGAGTGGGGGGAGGCTGCCACACCGTCGGCAGAAGCAGGGCCCATCCCAGCCTCAGTGCCCTGCCCAGACCACACGGCGACTACTCAGGAAGTGAAAGGACCATCCCCAAACCCAGTCTGTACCCCCTGCTCCAACAATGTCACCTGCCCTCGCCACATAACTGTCTTCCTCACTGTCCCTTATGTCCCCAGGGACAGGGGTTGCCCATGAGGGGAGCTGAAGCAGGGAGAAGACATCCCCAAAGTCCCAGAAATCAGCTGATCCCCAAATCCTTGCTAGTATTAATACAGGTATTTCTACCATTGGTACCAAGACGCTGCTGTGTCTGGGGGGCTGGTCTCTGAGATAGTACATTCAGAAGCATCATCTCATTTAATCCTCATCACACCCCTACGAGGCAAGTGGAATTCTGTCACTCGGGGGTTTCAGGAACTTACCAGGGCCTGGAACCAACCTGCACACCCCAGTTAGAGCTTCATGGGTTCCTTGCTCTTAGGACAATAGCACCTAGCACCCAGCATTGCCAGGGTCTCGCTCTGGGGCAGCTGGACCTACCTTCTGCT